CGGGCTGCTGGCTGCCTCCGCTGCTGCCCACCTCCTCCGTCCGGGGAGAGACCGCGGGGCCCGAGGGGCGGCGGCGGCGGCGGCGGCGCGAGTAGCGGCCGGCGGCACCATGCGGCGAGGCGGGCTGCTGGAGGTCGCGCTGGCGTTCGCCCTGCTCCTCGCGTCCTATACGAGCCATGGGGCGGACGCTAATCTGGAGGCTGGGAACCTGAAGGAGACTAGAGCCAACCGGGCCAAGAGAAGAGGCGGTGGAGGACACGATGCGCTGAAAGGGTAAGGGAAGCGCTTAGCTGTTTCGCCCTTCTTGGACTTGAAGACCCAGAGCAATTGACAGGGCCGGTTCTGGCCGGTAGAGGACCCCGGGTGAGACCTCCTGGGGGCCAAGTAAGTGCCAAGATTCCTTGGTCACCATCGCTTGTTCAGATAAATCGCCTTGTTCCTGCCCCAGAGGAGAGGTCCTGGTTGGAGGGAGTCCTGGCCCATTGTTGAGGCAGATTTGGGGAGGCGAGAAGGGCTCCTTGTGGAAGAAGGGGAGGAGCTGAAACCCGGAGAAAGGGAGAAGCCCACTGCTTTTGCTACATACCGATTCCGGCAGAGTGCAGGCAGAAGTGCTTTCCGTGTGGGTATCAGCTGTTTGGGAAGCAGCGAGGAAAGGAAAGGAAGACTCCAGAGACCGAGACAAGACGCATGGTCATGCTCATGAAAATCAGGGCTGTAGCGTCTGGGCTGTGTGAGCTCTGCATGCCACTGCTGGAGTAACGTCGCTGTGGCTGGCCCTACACGGGTTGATGTGGTGTCTACTTGGAAAACCCTTGTCCCACCAGCTTCCCACGCCCTAGTCTTGTAGCAATTTAAATTAGACAGGTTGGCTGTCTGAGGCTTGGCAGTTTCGGAAGCTGAAGGAGGGTGGAAATACAGTTCCTTTAAGATTTTTTAAACTCCCAAGAATGCCAGTCTCCGAGATTAAGTTCAAGCCTCTATAGAAGTGGTCGGATGGAAATTGATGGCCACTCTTCTCTCCCTTGGAGGAACCTGCTCAGTGACCCCAGGCAGTGCATATGCTGAGGTTTCTTGTCATTTTCAGGGTGCTTTCCCCCCAAGTGGTCTGTAACTTATGTGGCCCTGGATGTCATGATGAAGGTGTTCATTGTATTTTGTATGTGTGTCGGGGGCGGGGGGGGGGCTGTTTTGTGTGTATGTAGTGGATCTTGTGTTTGTATGGCTTCAGTACAAGAAGCAGAAGTGGGGTGTATGGAACAGTTTTTGAGTCCTTGTCTGGACGAGGGACCAGATGAGCATCACTGCAAAGCGCTTATGCTGTGGTAATACGTTTGTGATTGTTTGATCCCCTCAAATAGCTAGAATCAGTTCTGTCTTGACCTTTGTGGGAAACGGACCCAGAATGTTGTTGGGAAACAATCCAACAACACTGGCAGTAAGATCTACTGATCCAGACCAAGCATCAGACAACAGTTGCCCTGTGTCGAAGGCTGTGGAGAGTTCAGTAAATGGGTGGAAAAGCTGATTTTTAACATGTTTCAAGAGGGCTTTGTTTGGCTCAGCATTTTTCTTTCAGACTGTCATTCTGGTGCACGCTATCATCTTAGTATCTATTGTGATGGCACTGCTCACGTCTATACAAACAAACGCACATATACATATGTGTACATGTAAATGAGAGATTGTAGTTTTTATAAATCTTTTTTAACCCATAGTATTAGTAGAACAGCCATTATGAACATTCCTAGTTCTTATGTTATCTATAAGGTTTTCTGTGTCTATTTCTATGTATGGATGTGGTAAAAGAATTTTAAAGGATATACAATTAAAAGTATTTCCCTCCTACATCTCAGATACCTCAGTTATATATTTTACAATATATTATATATTACTATATATTATATATATACATAGCCACATATGCATTGCATATATCCATGTTTTATATATATATATACACACACATATATGAACATATATGTGTGCACCTGTTTTTTTACTATGTGGATGTACTATATATAATGTGGGCCTTCACTTTTTATACATCTTCAGTGTGTCCATCTGTTAACTTGTGTTCTCTTGGCTTGTAGGTTCCCATGATATTGTGGAATAGGTCCCAAATGACAGCTCTTGAGATTATAATAAATATTTTGCTATTAACAACATCTTTCTGTATACTTACATGTATGTGCATAAGCTTATATGTGGCACAAAGTAATATAGGTAGAGCTGCTGGGTCAAGGTTTTCTTACAGATTCTAAACACACTCCTTCTGATGCGGATTTCAAAATCTCAAAGTCTCTTTGCTCACTGCCGTTAGTCTCACAGGATGGTCTTTCAGCCGTGCTGTGCTGCGTAAACCGTCAGAAGAGCAGGCTGTGCACGACGTTTGTACAGTTGTGACTTAAAGCTTCTATGTGTGCTCACTGAAGTTGTCCAGTTCAGAACTAACCCCTGACTGTGCTGATACCTGCTCCCTGCTTTGATGGACATGCTGGGCTTCTGAAGTGCAGGTGGTCTGTAGTCCCCAAGGCTTGTGTGAGGCGGGGGCTATGACTTTTGACACCTCGCTGGTATCCATGCACCGATGTCTGGCACACGGTGTCCTGTTGCCTTTGGCTTTTCCTCTGATGTGACAGGTTCTGGCCTTAACACCCGTGTCCTTTTCCTATCATCTCCCTCGCTCTGCAGACTGGAGGGCCCGGCTTCCCTGACTAGGTGTGCCGCCCTAGCTGGCTTCTCTCCTGCATCCCAGGGCAGGTGTTTTCTCCCTTTTTCTCTTCTCACTGGGCAGCAAAAGTTGTTCCACTGTGGAAATTTAAGGATCCTTAAATTTTTTTCCCAGCTTTTGCTGTGTTTTCTTAGTAAGTTGCCAATTTCTGCTTTTACAGGAAATCCTCTATTTTTTTTTTTGAAAATTTAAAAAGATGGAATCAACGTGTTCTCCATTCGCTCAGCAAAACAATGTTTTTCCTCAGTTTTTCCAGTGAAAATTTGCATGTTTATTTATTTTTACATTCTGTTTATTTATTATATGTGTGTGTGTGCAATACAGTATGTGTGTGTGTGTGTGTGTGTGTGTGTGTGTGTGTGTGTGCACAGAGGACAATTTGCAGACATCCGCTCTAACTCCATCATTCGGTTCTGGGTGTTGAGCTCAGGCTGACATGCTTGGCAGTAGGCACCTTTACCTGTTACAGAGCTGTCTCGCTGGCCCAAAGTTTGCAAGTTTAAAAATCATTTTCCAGTAGTAAACACATATAGGAGTTTTCTTTTGCCTGGCCATTGCTTAACATGTGTGAAATGACTTGATGAGAAATAATGCAGTCCTAACTGCATTTCAGCTCATAGGAATTTTCTTGGCTAAACTTTAATACTGCAATTAGTCAAAAAAAAAAAATGGAAGATGGCTCAGTAACACACACACACCACCACCACCACCACCACCACCACCACCACCACCACCATCACCACCACCATCACCACCACCAGTACTGCTACCACCAGCAACAACACCACCTCCATCACCAATAAACCAATTCTAGTTAGAAAGCAGTAGTTATGCACCCTTTCTTTATGATTGCCTTATTGCTTTAACGCCCAAATAAGGAAATATTACAGTTTCATGTCAAAGGGAAACATTCCTTAAACTGAAACTTCTTTTCCCAAGTCTCTAGTAACAGGGAATGAGTCTTGTGTCCCTGTTGCTGGTTCATGAGTTTACAGGCTGACAGGTTGATAAGCTGACAGGCTGACAGGGTTGATAGATTTATAGGTTGACAGTTGACAGGCCCAGGAGTCCCATTGTGGTTTACAAAGTTTGTCTCCCTTCTCATGCTTCTTTCTGGTCTTTGTTTATTTGTTTACATTGTTCAGAATTCTTATTACCAGAAAAACACATATGAAACAGTTCACAGCCAGGGTAGATTATGTGATGGCAAACTCCCAACTTCTTAATTACGGAAGTCTTTCTTAACAAAATTGGATGGGGAGAACAGAGGATTTGACTCAGAGCTCACTTGACTCACAAAGACAACTTGAAGACTCATCTGAAGTCACAGTCTCCTCCTTACACATGGGGGAAGCTCCTGACAATGGCATCTTTGGTTTTCACGTTAATGAAAAGAGAAAGCTAATATATTGGGACACAATTTAAAAAACAGATTTTCTTAGGCTGAGGTTTATGTAATTCCACATTTTAAATAAAAAGAGATGAAATATTTATTTGATTTTTTCATCTATGCCTTTTGGACAAAGAGATAATTTAAAGAAATGAGTAAGCTGTTAATGAGGTAAATGAATAAAAACATATGTCAACATATACAGTATCATGATTTGAGAGTGGAAGTGAATGGAAGTACAGACCTATCTTCATGCTTAATTGGAATTTTAAATAATATTGAAAAATTCCCTTGTTAAAAAAATCATAGCATTATATTTATAACCTATAATTACTCAAACAAAATGCTAAATAATTAAAATATACATTCAAAACCAAATAATTTACCCAAGACATTCTGCGAGCTTTAGCTTTGGTTTTCAATGTGAAATGCTTTTTTGGAAGACAAGTAAACTATTTTAACAATTTCTTTGATTCTAGACACTGCCCAGCAAATGGGCTTACTTTAATAGCATTCTTTGAGAAAGCTGAAATCAATAATATATCAAGCCTGTCATAGAAGGTCTGTGAACATTTGTTGTTTCATGATTATTAAAACATGGTTGTCTCTTGTGTGGTTATGTATTGGGATGTGTGTGTTCTTGTGTGTGGGGGTGCACAGGCACATATTGGACATGTCTATGGAGGCCAGAAGTCTGCTTAGGGTGTCATTTCTCAGGAGCCGTCCACCTTATATTTTGAAGCCCAATTTCTCCCCAGGGTCTAGAGTTCTCTGATTAAGTTACACTGACAGTCCAGTAAGCGCCAGAGAACCATCTGTCTCTGCCTCCTGGTGCTGGGGTTACAGGTCTGCACTGCCCGTCTGGCTTTTTAAGTTGGTGCTAGGGATGGAACCGAAGCCCTCACTTTACTGTCCTGACCCCCTAGACTCGATTTCCATTTCCCACTAATCTGTAAAATCATCCAAGAGGCAAGAGTCAAATCGTAAGCATTTTACCACTAATATTTGAGATTAAATGAATCTCAAAGAATCACTAATTCCAGAAGCCTTGATTGACCAGTCTTTACTTAGCTGAGTGGAACACCAGAGATGTGTAGTGCATGGCTTGGAAGGGGCTTCATAGTTTACAGAAGACCAAGAGCCATTAACAGA